TTCGTTCAGTCGTCTCCGACTCTTCGTGACCTCATGGACCAGCCCACGCCAGAGCTCCCTGTCGGCCGTTACCACCTCCAGCTCCCTCAAGGTCAGTCCAGTCACTTCAAGGATGCCATCCATCCATCTTGCCCTTGGTCGGCCCCTCTTCCTTTTGCCTTCCACTTTCCCCAGCATCATTTCCTTCTCTAGGCTTTGCTGTCTCCTCATGATGTGGCCAAAGGACTTCAACTTTGTCTCTCGTCTCCTTCCCTCCAGTGAGCAGTCGGGCTTTCTTTCCTGGAGGATGGACTGGTTGGATCTTCTCGCAGTCCAAGGCACTCTCAGCACTTTCCTCCAACACCACAGCTCAAAAGCATCTCTCTTCCTTCGCTCAGCCTTCCCTAAGGTCCAGCTCTCACATCCGTAGGTTACTACAGGGAATACCATGGCTTTGACTAGGCGGATCTTGGTTGCCAGTCTGATGTCTCTACTCTTTACTATTTTATCGAGATTGGACATTGCTCTCCTCCAAAGAAGGAAGCGTCTTCTGATTTCCTGGCCACAGTCTGCATCTGCAGTAATCTTTGCACCTAGAAATACAAAGTCTGTCACGGCCTCCACGTTTTCTCCCTCTATTTTCCAGTTGTCAATCATTCTTGTTGCCATAATCTTGGTTTTTTTGACGTTTAGCTGCAACTCGACTTTTGCGCTTTCTTCTTTCACCTTGATTAGAAGGCTCCTCAGCTCCTCCTCGCTTTCGGCCATCAGAGTGGTGTCATCTGCATATCTGAGGTAGTTAATCTTTCTTCCAGCCATTTTCACCCCAGCTTTGCATTCCTCAAGCCCCGCACATCCTCGCATGATGTGTTCTGCATACAAGTTAAAAAGGTTGGGTGAGAGGATGCAGCCTTGCCGTACGCCTTTCCCAATCTTGAACCCGTCTCCTGTTCCGTGGTCAGTTCTGACTGTTGCTCCTTGGTCCTTGTACAGATTCCTCAGGAGAGAGGGAAGGGGGCTTGGGATGCCCATCCCACCAAGAACTTGCCACAATTTATTATGATCCACACAGTCAAAGGCTGTGTTATTACGTTAGTAAAATAATAATAAAAATCGTAATAGATGTTAAGGAATGAAATCTCAAATTCCCCCATACTTTTGCAACGCTGATTCAGAGTGCAATACAATAATAATAATAATAGATGTTAAGGAATTAAATCTCAACCTCCCCCAAACTTGTGCAAGCCTGATTCTTTACAGTAGCAATGCTCCCTTTCAGGTTTGGAGTCTCTTCTGTAAGAGGGCAGTGCAATATAATAATAATAATTAATTAATTAATTAAATCCCAACTCTCCCATACTTTTGCAAGGCTGATTCAGAGTGCAATTGAATAATAATAATAATAATAATAATAATAATAATAATAATAGGCCAAGGAATGGAATCCCAAACTTCCCCACATTAATAATAATAATAATAATAATAATAATAATAATAATAATAATATTAGAGGCTAAGGAATGGATCCCAAACTCCCCCACACTAATAATAATAATAATAACAGAGGCTAAGAAATGGAATCCCAAACTTCCCCACATTAATAATAATAATAATAATAATAATAATAATAATAATAGAGGCTAAGGAATGGATCCCAAACTCCCCCACACTAATAATAATAATAATAACAGAGGCTAAGAAATGGAATCCCAAACTTCCCCACACTAACAATAATAATAATAATAATAATAATAATAACAGAGGCTAAGAAATGGAATCCCAAACTTCCCCACACTAACAATAACAATAATAATAATAATAATAACAGAGGCTAAGAAATGGAATCCCAAACTTCCCCACACTAACAATAACAATAATAATAATAATAATAACAGAGGCTAAGAAATGGAATCCCAAACTTCCCCACACTAACAATAATAATAATAATAATAATAATAATAACAGAGGCTAAGAAATGGAATCCCAAACTTCCCCACACTAACAATAATAATAATAATAATAATAATAACAGAGGCTAAGAAATGGAATCCCAAACTTCCCCACACTAACAATAATAATAATAATAATAATAATAATAATAATAACAGAGGCTAAGAAATGGAATCCCAAACTTCCCCACACTAACAATAATAATAATAATAATAATAATAACAGAGGCTAAGAAATGGAATCCCAAACTTCCCCACACTAACAATAACAAATAATAATAATAATAATAATAATAATAATAATAACAGAGGCTAAGAAATGGAATCCCAAACTTCCCCACACTAACAATAATAATAATAATAATAATAATAATAATAATAACAGAGGCTAAGAAATGGAATCCCAAACTTCCCCACACTAACAATAATAATAATAATAATAATAATAATAACAGAGGCTAAGAAATGGAATCCCAAACTTCCCCACACTAACAATAATAATAATAATAATAACAGAGGCTAAGAAATGGAATCCCAAACTTCCCCACACTAACAATAATAATAATAATAATAATAATAATAATAATAATAATAATAATAGAGGTAAGGAATGGATCCAAAACTCCTCCACACTAACAATAATAATAATAGAGGCTAAGAAATGGAATCCCAAACTTCCCCACACTAATAATAATAATAATAAATTAATGAATGAAATCCCAGCTCTCAAATACTTTTGCAAGGCTGATCCAGAGTGCAATTGAATAATAATAATAATATAGGCTAAGGAATGGATCCAAAACTCCTCCACACTAACAATAGTAATAATAATAATGAAGTCAAGAAATGGCTCCAAAACTCCTCCACACTAATAATAATAATAATAATAATAATAATAATAATAATAATAATAATAATAATAATAATAATAGAGGCTAAGGAATGGAATCCCAAACTTCGCCACACTAATAATAATAATAATAAATTAATGAATGAAATCCCAACTCTCAAATACTTTTGCAAGGCTGATCCAGAGTGCAATTGAATAATAATAATAACAATAACAATAATATAGGCTAAGGAATGGATCCAAAACTCCCCAACACTAATAATAATAATAATAATAATAATAATAATAATAAAGCTAAGAAATGGATCCAAAACTCCCCCACACTAATAATAGTAATAATAATGATGAAGAAGAAGCTAAGGAATGGCTCCAAAACTCTCCCACAATAATAATAATAATAATAATAATAATAATAATAATAATAGAAGCTTGGAATCCCTAACTTCCCCATACTAATATCCAAAACTCCCCCACACTAATAATAGTAATAATAAGGCATGAACCCAAAACTCCCCAACACTAATAATAATAATAATAATAATAATAATAATAATCGAAGCTTGGAATCCCAAACTCCCCCACACTAATAATAATAATAATAATAGAAGCTAAGGAAAGGGAACCCCCAGACTTCCCCACACTTTTGCAAGCTTTTTGCAGGCCCTTCCAGATCTGGGCTCTCTTTGCAATGGCAGCCTTTCAGGTTTTTAATAATAATAATAATAATAATAATAATAATAATAATAATAACAATAATAGAGGCTAAGGAATGGATCCCAAACTCCCCACACTAATAATAATAAATAATAATAATAATAATAATAATAAGGCATGAACCCAAAACTCCCCAACAGTAATAATAATAATAATAATAATAATAATAATAATGGAAGCTGTGTGGATCCAAAACTCCCCCACACTAATAATAATAAATAATAATAGTAATAATAATAGAGGCTAAGGAACGGAACCCCAAATTTCCCCAAATAGTTGCAAGCTTTTTGCAGGCCCTTCCAGATCTGGGCTCTCTTTGCAATGGCAGCCTTTCAGGTTTTAATAATAATAATAATAATAATAATAATAATAATAATAATAACAATAATAGAGGCTAAGGAATGGATCCAAAACTCTCCCACATTAATAATAATACTAATAAATTAATGAATGAAATCCCAACTCTCGAATACTTTTGCAAGGCTGATCCAGAGTGCAATTGAATAATAATAATAACAATAAACAATAAAATACTAAATGTAAGGATCCAAAACTAATAATAATAATAATAATAAAGCTAAGGAATGGCTCCAAAACTCCCCCACACTAATAATAATAATAATAATAATAATAATAATAATAGAGGCTAAGGAATGGAATCCCAAACTCCCCCACACTAATAATAATAATAATAATAATAATAATAATAATAATAAAGCTAAGGAATGGCTCCAAAACTCCCCCACACTAATAATAATAATAATAATAATAATAATAATAATAGAGGCTAAGGAATGGAATCCCAAACTTCCCCACACTAATAATAATAATAATAATAATAATAATAACAATAGAGGCCAAGGAATGGATACAAAACTCTCCCACACTATTAACAATAATAATAATAATGGGATTCCATTCCTTAGCCTCTACTACTACTACTACTACTATTATTAGTATGGGGAAGTTTGGGATTCCATTCCTTAGCTTCATTATTATTATTATTATTATTAGTAGTAATAATAATAATAATAGAGGCTAAGGAGTGAAACCCCCCTACTTCCCCCCACTTTTGCAACCTTTTTGCAGGCCCTTCCAGATCTGGGCTCTCTTTGCAGCTGGGTGAACAGGTTTATAATAATAATAATAATAATAATAATAATAATAATAATAATAATAATAATAATAATTTATCTGACACCCCCCTTTTGCAACGCTGACCCTTTGCAATGTGGGCAAAGAAAGGCCGGGGGGGGGGGATAACTTCCATAGTATGTGTGTGTGTGTGTGTGTGTGCCATGCAAGCTGCCCTGCTCTTCTGCTCTTCCTTTCTTCCTTTGCAGCCTGGGAGGAGGAAGAGGCGGGGGCCGGCCCAGGCTTGTGCTGCAATGGGAGGGCAGGGGGGAGCAGCCAATCAGCGGGCGCCGTTCCGAAAGTGGCCTTATATGGCGCGAGCGCAGCCGCCGAGCCCGTATAAAACCCCGCCGCGCCCGGGAGCCCGCTCGCACTCGCATATCCCGCGATACCCGGCCTCGTCTGGACGCCCCCTTCTCCACCTCTTTAATACTCTTATTCTCCAAGGAAGACCCTCACCACTCCTCCAAAGGTAAGTAAGCCTGTTTTTTCCTTGGGTTTAGAGAGGTTTGCAATGTGGCAGGGAGTTTAATGCGGGTTCTTAATGCGGATTGGAAATAAGATCTCTTTCTCTCTCTATATATGTCTTGTAATCTATCTATCAAAGCCCTGCCTATGTATTAGTATCGTAGAGAGTCCTTATCAAGGTTGCATGGTTTCAAATCCACTTTAAAGCGGATTATTGGGAGTCCACACTGCCACATAATCCGGATTTTGTCTTCTAACTTATCAACGCCCTGCCTGTGTGTTACTATAGTAGAGAGTCGTTGCCAAGGTTGCATGGTCTTCATGTTTTCAAATCCACTTTAAAGCGGATTATTGGGAGTCCACACTGCCACATAATCCGGATTTTGTCTTCTAACTTATCAACGCCCTGCCTGTGTGTTACTAGAGAGTCGTTGCCAAGGTTGCATGGTCTTCATGTTTTCAAATCCACTTTAAAGCGGATTATTGGGAGTCCACACTGCCACATAATCCGGATTTTGTCTTCTAACTTATCAACGCCCTGCCTGTGTGTTACTATAGTAGAGAGTCGTTGCCAAGGTTGCATGGTCTTCATGTTTTCAAATCCACTTTGAAGCGGATTATTGGGAGTCCACACTGGCACATAATCCGGATTTGGAAATAAGACCTATCTCTCTATATATATGTCTTGTAACCTATCATCCACGTCCTGCCTGTGTATTAGTATGGTAAATAGTCATTGTCAAGGCTGCATGCTTTCAAATCCACTTTGGAGCGGATTATTGGGAGTCCACGCTGCCACATAACCCGGATTTTGTCTTGTAACATCTTATCAAAGCTTGTCTTGTAACCCTATCTATCCACGCCCTGCCTGTGTATTAGTATGGTAGAGAGTCGTTGCCAAGGCGGCATGCTTTCAAATCCACTTTAAAGCGGATTATTGGGAGGCCACTCTGCCACATAATCCGGATTTTGTCATATAACCTATCTATCCACGCCCTGCCTGTGTATTAGTATGGCAGAAAGTCGTTGCCAAGGCTGCATGCTTTCAAATCCACTTTGAAGCGGATTATTGGGAGTCCACACTGCCACATAATCCGGATTTTGTCTTGTAACATATCTATCCACGCCCTCCTTGTGTATTAGTATGGTAGAGAGTCGTTGCCAAGGTTGCATGCTTTCAAATCCGCTTTGGAGCGGATTATTGGGAGTCCACACTGGGTAATAAGTGTTCTTGTCCTTTTGGAATATATAAAGACAACACTTCCCTAATGGTAAGGGGTCCACACTTCTGTATAATCCGGTTCAAAGATAATCCGGATTTTTTAAAAAAGTAGACCCATCTTGAGAAAGGAGTGGTCAGTGTGTCTTAAAATATAAAAAAGCAATAACGCCCTAATGGTAGGAGTCCACACTTCTGTATAATCCGGTTCGAAGTCAATCCGGATTTCTTAAAGTAGACCCAGCCTGAGAAAGGAGTGTTCAGTGTGTCTCTTAGGGCAACAACGCCTTAATGGTAGGTGTCCACACTGCTGTTATAATCCGGATTTTGTTGAGGTAGACACAAGTTTCAAGGAGTATTCAATTTGTCTTATGGGTTTTGTCCTAATGGTTGGAGTCCTCACTGGTATATAATCCGGATCAAAGATAATCCGGATTTCTTTAAGTAGACCCAGCCTGAGAAAGGAGTGTTCAGTGTGTCTCTTAGGGCAACAACGCCTTAATGGTAGGTGTCCACACTGCTGTATAATCCGGATTTTGTTAAGACAGACACAGTTTGAATGAGTATTCTATGTGTCTTATGGGTTTTGTTCTAATGGCAGGAGTCCACACTGCTATATAATCCGGATCAAAGATACTCTGGTGTTTGTTAAGGAAGACCCAGTTTCAATGAGTATTCAATGTGTCTTATGGGTTTTGTCCTAATTGCAGGAGTCCTCACTGCTATATAATCCGGATCAAATATAATTCGGAACTTGTTAAGGAAGACCCAGTTTCAATGAGTACTCAATGTGTCTTATGGGTCCTGCCCTAATGGCAGGAGCCCACACTGCTATATAATCCGGATTTTTGAGCTTAGAGCCATCTTGAGAACTGACTGTTCAGTGTGTCTTGCAATAAGACCCCAATGAGTTCCAAACTAGATTTGATTTAGTTAAGATTTGGCATGGATACAGAGAGAACATACAGATAAATAAATACTGGGATTTGCATGCATATAGATGGAGAATTTGCAGAATTGGAGACCAGAAAGATGCACGCCTTTCCAACTTGCAAACCTTCCTTTCCTTGCAAACTGGCAAAACCTTTTTCGGGTTTGGGAAGCCTTGCAAAATGGGGAAAAGGAGAGAAATTCCTTGAGTTGGGCCTACTTCCTCACATCAGAAGAATGGAGACCCAATTTGAAGGACAGTTGGGCACCCTGACCATGCATTGCATTTTCCTTGCTTCCTTTGCATGCACACAATGCTGTCTCTTGTGTGTTTGTGAGTGGATGGATTTCCGGCCGGGCTCCTAATCTGCTCTTAAGGCCTAAGAGGATTGTTGCTGCTGCAAAAAAGCAACAAAACCTTGGAAGGAGTCCCTTTTTCCCTCTACTTTGGGGTCTGTTTCCTTGCATTTGCATTGCTTTAGCAAGGAAGGGAACTGGGGACACTTCCTTGCCCATTTCCGTTCCAAAAAGCACATTTTCCTCTCTATTTTGGGGTTTGTTTCCTTGCATTTGCATTGTTTTAGTAAAGGAAGGGGACACTTGCCCATTTCTGTTCTGAAAAGCACATTTTCCTCTCTATTTTGGGGTTTGTTTCCTTGCATTTGCATTGCTTTAGCAAAGAAGGGAACTAGGAACACTTCCTTGCCCGTTTCCGTTCCAAAAAGCACATTTCCTCCTCTTATTTTGGGGTTTATTTCCTTGCATTTGCATTGCTTTAGCAAGGAAGGGAACTGGGGACACTTCCTTACCCCATTTCCTTTCCAAAAAGCACATTTCCCAATCTATTTTGGAGTCTGTTTCCTTGCATTTGTATTACTTTAGCAAGGAATGAAATTGGGACACTTCCTTACCCCATTTCCATTCCAAAAAGCACCTTTTCCTCTCTATTTTGGGGTCTATTTCCTTGCATTTGCATTGCTTTAGCAAAGAAGGGAACTAGGAACATTTCCTTGCCCATTTCCTTTCCAAAAAGCACCGTTTCCTCTCTATTCTGGGGTCTATTTCCTTGCATTTGCATTGTTTTGGCAAAGCAAAGGAACTGGGGACACTTCCTTGCCCATTTCCTTTCCAAAAAGCACATTTTCCTCTATTTTGGGGTTTGTTTCCTTGCATTTGCATTGCTTTAGCAAATAAGGGAACTAGGAACACTTCCTTACTTCATTTCCTTTCCAAAAAGCACATTTTTCACTCTATTTTGGGGTTTGTTTCCTTGCATTTCCATTACTTTAGCAAATAAGGGAACTGGGAATACTTCCTTGCCCCATTTCCTTTCCAAAAAGCACATTTCCTCTATTTTGGGGTCTGTTTCCTTGCATTTGCATTGCTTTAGCAAAGAATGGAACTAGGGACACTTCCTTGCCCATTTCTGTTCCAAAATACACATTTTCCTCCCAACTTTGGGGTCTGTTTCCTTGCATTTGCATTGCTTTAGCAAATAAGGGAACTAGGAACACTTCCTTGCCCATTTCCTTTCCAAAAAGCACCTTTCCCTCTATTTTGGGGTTTGTTTCCTTACATTTGCATTGTTTTAGCAAAGCAAGGGGACACTTGCCTTTTTCTGTTCCAAAAAGCACCTTTCCCCCATCTATTTTGGGGTCTATTTCCTTGCATTTGCATTGCTTTAGCAAGGAAGGGAACTAGGGACACTTCCTTGCCCATTTCCTTTCCAAAAAGCACTTTTCCCTCTCTATTTTGGGGTCTATTTCCTTGCATTTGCATTGCTTTAGCAAAGAAGGGGACTGGGGACACTTCCTTCCCCCATTTCTGTCCCAAAATCCCCCCCAAAAGCAGGCATTTCCTTGCTGAGCACAAAATGAGGGGCTGCTTGCCCCCTCTCAGCCCCCCAGACTTGATAGGGCGTGACACCAGATGGAGAGAGGGAAGGTGGGGGCCACTTCCGGTGGGGGAAGCCTCCCTTTCCCATTGTATCCTATGCAGAGCACATGGGAGGGGAGGGGGCCTGTGAAGTGGGCGGGGCTTCCAGGCAGCCCCTTTGTTTCCTCCAAGGCTCCCTTTTGGGGAGGGGGTCTCTGCAGGGCAAGATATGGGGGGGGGGCTCTTTGTCTTTGCAGATCCTCAATGCAGCCTTCAAATCCTAATATGTATTATTATGGTGTCGGAAATGCAAAATCTGCTTGGCTGGGACAATATATTTTTGCTTTGCTTTATTTTTTTAGGTGCATTAAAAAGAAAAGACTGTCCTCCTTGATTGCACTGCAGCTAATTGCTCTCTCTCTCTCTCTATACATGCATACAGAGAGACAGGTGGGGCATAAATAGAGATAGTAATAAGAATAATACATATTATATAAAGAAAATCCCTCAATTAGCCGGGACTGCCGATAGTTTTGCCATATAACGCTATAGAGGGAAACCCAGGAATTAATTGCACAACGCGTTCCTGAGATTAACTATAATATAATATAATATACAATTATAATTACATTTTTATTACTAATAATATTAATATAGCTATTATAATTTTATTATATGATATATTAGTATTGTATATGTTAATATATTATATTATTATTGTGTTATATGTTATTATATATTAGTATTATTATATATTATAATAATCTACATTTTTATTACTAATAATATTAATATAGCTATTATAATTTTATTATATGATATATTAGTATTGTATATATTAATATATTATATTATTATTGTGTTATATGTTATTATATATTAGTATTATTATATATTATAATAATCTACATTTTTATTACTAATAATATTAATATAGCTATTATAATTTTATTATATGATATATTAGTATTGTATATGTTAATATATTATATTATTATTGTGTTATATGTTATTATATATTAGTATTATTATATATTATAATAATCTACATTTTTATTACTAATAATATTAATATAGCTATTATAATTTTATTATATGATATATTAGTATTGTATACATTAATATATTATATTATTATTATTGTGTTATATGTTATTATATATTAGTATTATATATTATAATCTACATTTTTATTATTAATATTAATATAGCTATTATAATTTTATTATATATTAGTATTATGTATTAGATATATATTAATATAATTATATTATTATTGTGTTATATGTTATTATATATTGGTATTATTATATTTTAGTATTTTTATATATTATTGTAGATTAATATTATTATATATTAATATAATGCCAAGTTTTTAAACTACAACTATACTCTTGGTTTGCTCCTGATGCCATAAATGTATTGAATTAATTGCACAGCACATTCCTGAAATTAACAAATTTTATTATTATTTTAATAATATAACACATAAATTTATTATATGTTATTATATATTAGTATTATATATAATATATATTAGTATGACTATATTATGTTATATATTATATATTACTATTATTATATATTAGTATGACTATATTAATATAATTCTAAGTTTTTTAAACTTTCTGTTTTTAAATACATCACAACTATACCCTTGGTTCACTCCTGACACTAAATATATATATATATATATATATATATATATATACACACACACACACACACACACACACACACACACACTATACATATAACTATATATATATATATTATATATATAAAAATACTATATATAATTATTATATACTGTTAGCACATTATATATTATTTTTATATACAATTAGTGTGTTATATACTATATATAACACACTAATTGTATATAAAAATTATATATATATATATATACACACACACACACACACACACACACACACACACTATATATATATACTATATATAGGAGCCCCTGGTGGCGCAGTGGGTTAAAGCACTGAGCTGCTGAGCTTGTTGATCGAAAGGTAGCAGGTTCGATTCCGGGGAGCGGCGTGAGCTTCCGCTGTCAGCCCTAGCTTCTGCCAACCTAGCAGTTCGAAAACATGCAAATGTGAGTAGATCAATAGGTACCGCTCCGGCGGGAAGGTAACGGCGCTCCATGCAGTCATGCCGGCCACATGACCTTGGAGGTGTCTACGGACAACGCTGGCTCTTCGGCTTAGAAATGGAGATGAGCGCCACACCCCAGAGTCAGACATGACTGGACTTAATGTCAGGGGACTACCTTTACCTTTACCTTATACATATATAAAAACATAATACCTCCCTCCTGTCCTTTAGAAAGCAAACAAACCATTTGGAGAGAGTAGTTACAGGTTAACATGCAGCTGTAAAGTGAATGGAATTTAATTAATTGAAACAGCTCCTTGATTATGATTTGGGGTCTATGTGCACTTTTTAACATCCTATTTAATTGTACTTCTATGGTATTGCATTCATATGTTTTATGTTTAATGCAGCATTGAATTATTGCCTATTTTGAAACCACTAAAATGCATTAAATAAATAAATAAAACTAAATTCCTGAACCTAAGCAAAGAATTTTTCATTGCAAAGCAGAACTGTTTCCTCCAACCCCCTTCCTCTTAATTTCCCCAAATTACATACTTCTGTATAGATTATTTCCTCCATTGCATGTCTATCCTCAATTTTCCATAAATAAAAAGTGGGGCAAAGGGTTTTGGAAGCTTATTAATTAGTATTAAATATTATAACATATTATTATTTTACTCCATTGCATGTCTATCCTCAGTTTCCCACAAATAAAAGGTGGGGTAAAGGGTTCAGAAGCTTATTATTAATTCGTATTCTATATTATATTATTTATTATTGTTAGTATAAATTATATACATTTATTGTAATACTTGGACTAAATTCCTGAACCTAACCAAAGGTGTTTTCATTGCAAAGCAGAACCATTTCCTCCAATCTCCTCCAATTTTCCCAAATTATATACTTCTCAATAGATTATTTCCTCCATTGCACTTCGAAACGCAATTTGCCATAAGTAAAAGGTGGGGAAATATAATAATATTATTTGTATAATAATAATAATAATAATAATAATAATAATAATAATAATAAAAAATTGTGGGGAAAAGGGTTCGGAAGCTTTATCAGTATTATACTATATTATTTATTTATTATTAATATTATATATCTATCTATCTATATATTGATAATAATAAACAAATGGAATTCCTGATACTAACCAAAGGTGTTTTCATTGCAAAGCAGAACTATTTCCCCCATTGCACATTATTATTATTATTATTTATTTATAATTTGTAATAATTAATTTTATATCTCTCTTTATATAGATAATAATAAATGAACTAAATTCCTAAACCTAACCAAAAGTGTTTTCATTGCAAAGCAGAACTATTTCCTCCCATTGCACATTATTATTTATTTATAATTTATAATAATAATTAATTGTATATCTCTCTATATATAGATAATAATAAATGAACTAAATTCCTGAACCTAACCAAAGGTGTGCATTGCATGTCGATCCTCAGTTTGCCATAAATAAAAAGTGGGGGAAAGGGTCTGGAAATGTATCTGCATCCCCCTTAAAACCCTACTTAATCTGTCAACATCGTATTAAGTCATGTAGTATATAAAATGTGAGTGGAAAGGGGTCAAAATTGGACTTTTGCAAAGCCTAGTTTCGTTCGTTTCGGCGTTTGAGTGGCTTTGGTTGCAGCCAAACTTGGTTTGCAAGATGAGCAAGTTGCAGGGCGCTTCCCTTTTTTTTTTTTGCAAAACCCTAGAAAGGGCGTGGAAAGAGGGAGATGGTGCCCTAATTCTGCTTTTGCCCCCATTGAGGCCCTCTCTCTTTCTCTCTCTCTCTCTCTCTCTCTCTCATGTCCCTGGGCGTGGCTTCCAGGCAGATGTCTCATCATCCGCCCTCCTCCTCCTCCTTCCCTTGCAAGAGAAAAAAAGTGGGTGGGACGAAAGCTGCCTGGAGATCCTGCCTTGCTCTTCTAACCATTGCCTTTTATGGTAATAACATGGGACCGGAGAGGAGGACTTCCTTTGTCCCCATTTGGGAGAGATGCTGCGAGGCATTGGCTCCCTCTCCTGGTAGCGGGAAGAAGTGCTCGAGAGAACGACAAAACAGGAAGCTGGGGCCGGAAGTGGGTGGGGTGATCCCTTCTAACAGCACCCTCTCTTTCCAGCTGGGATTTTTTTCTCTCGGTCACCCACACTTTTTCTATGAGCTGGTGGAATTGTTGTGTCAGCTCAGGTCCTCCCTCTTAAAAGATTTCAGCAGGGATCCCATCAGGTCCGCTGGCTTTGTTATTTTTTTGTTGGTTGATGGCATTGCTGACTTCTTCCAAATTAGGCAGTGCTGCAAGCTCATCTCAGATTTGTTGTTGCGGGATTTGTGAGAGAACCTCAGATGGCTCAGTCTAAAGCAACTCCCACAGTCCCTAACAGCCAGTATTTCCATCAGAGAGGTGATAAGAAGCTGACTATCTGGAATTCCTTACTCCCAAAGACTATGTCCCTGTGAGGGAAATGAAATAGATCCTCGTCCAAAACATCTGGAGGGCCACAGTTGGCCTGTGCTTCTATAAAGCAGAAAAAAAATCTGCATTTTTCAAATAATTTTATCTTTTTTCTTTCTCTTTTCAAAGATGGATGATGATATCGCTGCGCTCGTGGTTGACAACGGCTCCGGAATGTGCAAGGCTGGCTTTGCCGGGGATGATGCCCCTCGCGCCGTGTTCCCGTCCATCGTTGGCCGCCCCAGGCACCAGGTATGTCTGGATGACCCATCTGCATGCAAAATTTAATCCAGATCTCTCTAGTCTGGAAAACATATCTACACATGCCTTCAGTTGCACAAGTTTTCATTAGCCGGCAGTTTTAGTCGAACTTGGATGTGAAGCAGCTCTGAGCTCGAAAGTGAGTCTTCCTCCCAATCATAGCAGAGTCAACCTAGTGCCAGTTAACACCTCCCAAACAAACAAAGGATGCCTCTAAGCAACAATACCCAGGCTACCTCTATGCAGAGATCATCACTGATTCACTTTGCAAACTTCATGGCTACTCAGTGCTAATCAAGTTTGCTAATTGCAACAGTCACACTTCAAACAGACAAGGGTTCCTTCTCCCACCCTGGACATTATTCCACTCACACTCTGCTTCACTACCTCTATGCAGATACCCGTCACTGATTGACTTTGCCAACTTCATGGCTACTGAATGCTAATCAAGTTGCCTTTGCAAGCTTCATGGTTACTCAGTGCAACATTGCAACATTCATATTTGCTTCAAACAGAGTAGTGTTCTTTCTCTCATCCTGGACATTATTCCACAGGTTTAGATAGATAGATAATTCACACACACACACTCACAGCTTGCTTCACTATCTCTATGTAGAGATCTTCACTGATTTTGCAAACTCCATGGCTACTCAGTGGTAATCAAGCTTGCTAATTGCAACATTCACACTTGTTTCTGACAAGGGTCCATTATCCCACCCTGGACATTATTCCACTGGGATGGATACAACACACACACACACTGCTTCACTACCTCTATGCAGATACTCTCACTAACTGACTTTGCAAACTTCATGGCTACTGAATGCTAATCAAGTTTCCGTTTCGTTCCATCCACTCTGCTGGCATGAAACGGAAAGGTCTCCTGGAATGAAAATAAATTCGATACGAAAGGCAGAAAAGTACTGGCTCCAAGCCTGCTTTTCGGATTTATAACTATGCATAGGCCCAAAGCACTTGGCCTGGCAGGGCCAAGTAAAACGAGTACTCCTTAGCAGCTGCAGGCCTTGCCACATAGGCCCAAAATGTGCACTTGTAGGCCCAAAGCACTGAGGTGCCTGCAAACTGAGCTCTGAGTAAAGAGTGCTCCTTACTCGGCACTTGGCTGCAGGCCCTGCCAGGCCCCAGTGTTTTGGGCCTACAGGTGCAGATTTTGGGCCTACATGGCAGGGCCTGCAGCTGCTAATGAGTGCTCCTTACTTGGTGCACTGGGTTGCAGGCAATCTGATGCTTTGGGGCTGCAGCTGAGTGCTGAGTAAGGAGCACTCCTTACTCGGAGCTCGGTTTGCAGGCATCCTGGTGCTTTGGGCCTACGTGGCAGGGCTTGCAGCTGCTAAGGAGTGCTCCTTACTTGGCACTCGCTCGGCTGCAGGCACCAGGGACTACAGCTGAGCACCTACTCGGCACTGGGTTGCAGGCAATCTGATGCTGTGGGCCTGCAGCTCGGTGCCGAGTAAGGAGTACTCCTTACTCGGAGCTCAGTTTGCAGGCACCCTGGCACTTTGGGCCTACGTGGCAGGGCTTGCAGCTGCTAAGGAGTGCTCCTTACTTGGCACTCACTCAGCTACAAGCACCAGGGACTACAGCCGAAAATCTACTCAGCACTGGGTTTCAGGCAATCTGATGCTTTGGGCCGACAGCTGAGTGCCGAGTAAGGTGCACTCCTTACTCGGAGCTCGGTTTGCAGGCACACCCGCGCTTTGGGACTACGTGGCAGGGCCTACAGCTGCTAAGGAGCTCTCCTTACTTGGCGCTCGCTCAGCTGCAGGGACTACAGCGAATCACCTACTCAGTACTGGGCAATCCGATGCTTTGGGCCTGCAGCTGAGTGCTGAATAAGGACCACTCCTTACTCAGAGCTCAGTTTGCAGGCACCCCGGTGCTTTGGGCCTACAGGTGCAGGTTTTGAGCCTACGTGGCAGGGCCTGCAGCTGCTAAGGAGTGCTCCTTACTTGGCGCTCGCCTGGTTGCAGGCACCAGGGACTACAGCCGAGAATCTACTCGGCACAGGGTTGCAGGCAAACTGATGCTTTGGGCCTGCAGCTGAGTGCTGAGTAAGGACCACTCCTTACTCAGAGCTCAGTTTGCAGGCACCCCAGTGCTTTGGGCCTACAGGTGCAGGTTTTGAGCCTACGTGGCAGGGCCTGCAGCTGCTAAGGAGTGCTCCTTACTTGGCGCTCGCCTGGTTGCAGGCACCAGGGACTACAGCCGAGAATCTACTCGGCACAGGGTTGCAGGCAAACTGATGCTTTGGGCCTGCAGCTGAGTGCTGAGTAAGGACCACTCCTTACTCAGAGCTCAGTTTGCAGGCACCCCAGTGCTTTGGGCCTACAGGTGCAGGTTTTGAGCCTACGTGGCAGGGCCTGCAGCTGCTAAGGAGTGCTCCTTACTTGGCGCTCGCCTGGTTGCAGGCACCAGGGACTACAGCCGAGAATCTACTCGGCACAGGGTTGCAGGCAAACTGATGCTTTGGGCCTGCAGCTGAGTGCTGAGTAAGGACCACTCCTTACTCAGAGCTCAGTTTGCAGGCACCCCAGTGCTCTGGGCCTACAGGTGCAGGTTTTGAGCCTACGTGGCAGGGCCTGCAGCTGCTAAGGAGTGCTCCTTACTTGGTGCACTGCGTTTCAGGCAATCCGATGCTTTGGGTCTGCAGCTGAGTGCCAAGTAAGGAGTGCTCCTTGCTCGACTGCAGGCCCTGCCAGACCCGAGCGTGTAGGCCCAGGCACTTTGGGCATAGAGGTGAAGTGGCCCCCTCACCCTCAAATAATGGCTCGAAAGAAAACTGATCTTTCGGCACCAATAACAAAATATCTGACCGCCCGATTTCAGGAGGCTCAGCCAAATCGAATCAGTGCCCTGACTGAAAGCCAGGACACGAAACAGATCAAGGTTTACCCTAAATCAGTGGTTCTCAATCTCTGGGTCCCCAGATGTTTTGGCTTTCAACTCCCAGAAATCCCAACAGCTGGTAAACTGGCTGGGATTTCTGGGAGCTGTAGACCAAAACACCTGGGGACCCACAGGTTGAGAACCACTGCCCTAAATGCACATGACTACTCTGAACCATGTAGATGTAGTTTGTACAATGGACTTCTCCTGAGATGGGAGAATTTTTAATGACTTGGTTTTACTGATGGGTCTGGACCATCATAAACATTGTTATTCTATGCACTGCTTTCTAGTCTCCCTTGAGCGGTGTTTGGACTTGTTGTGATTCCACTCAGAGGAAGTTGGGAATCTTGTTTCCGTCCTAATGCCTTTCCTTCCTTCCTTTTAGGGCGTGATGGTTGGCATGGGCCAGAAAGACAGCTACGTGGGGGACGAGGCGCAGAGTAAAAGAGGCATCCTGACCCTGAAGTATCCCATCGAACACGGCATCGTCACCAACTGGGATGACATGGAGAAGATCTGGCACCACACCTTCTACAACGAGCTGAGAGTCGCCCCCGAAGAACACCCCGTGCTGCTGACAGAGGCCCCCCTGAACCCCAAAGCCAACAGAGAAAAGATGACACAGGTTGGCTCATACGTACATAGGTCTCACTTCAAAACACACTAAAAGGCGTGGGCAAACTTGGACCCTCCAGGTGTTTTGGACTTCAACTCCCGCAATTCCTAACAGGGTCTATTTCAGTGTTTCTCAACCTGGGGGTCAGGTGGGTGCGGGGTGAGGTCGGCGGGCGGGGGTGTGGGGGTGGGTGCGGTTGGGGGGGTGGGGGGACTGGGGGGGGCCCGGTGCGTGGGGGGGGGGGGGGGGGGTCAGGACCCCTTGGGGTCGCGGGGGAGGGTGGGGGCGGGGTGTCAGAGGGGTCGCCAAAGACCATCAGAAAACATAGTATTTTCGGTTGGTCATGGGGGTTCTGTGTGGGAAGTTTGGCCCAATTCTATCGTTGGTGGGCTGGGATTTATTGGTGAACTATAAATCCCAGCAACTACAACTCCCAAATGTCAAGTCTATTTCCCCCAAACTCCACCAGTGTTCACATTTGGGCATATTGAGTATTGTGCCAAGTTTGGTCCAGATCCATCATTGTTTGAGTCCAGAGTGATCCAATTCTATCGTTGATGAAGTTCAGAATGCTATTTCATTGTGGGAGAACTATAAATCCCAGCAACTACAACTCCCAAATGCTGAGGTCTATTTTCCCCAAACTCCACCAGTGTTCACATTTGGGCATATTGAGTATTTGTGCCAAGTTTAGTCCAGATCCATCATTGTTTGAATCCACAGTGCTCTCTGGATGTAGGTGAACTACAACTCCAAAAATTCAAGGTCAATGTCCACCAGACCCTCCCAGTATTTCCTCTTGGTCATGGGAGTTCTGCATGCCAAGTTTGGTTCTATTCCATTGTTGGTGAACTTCAGAATACTCTTTGATTGTAGGTGAACTATAAATCCCAGCAACTACAACTCCAATAGACAAAATAAATCCCCCCAACCCCACCAGTATTCAAATTTGGGCGTATCTGGTATTTGGGCCAAATTTGGTCCAGTGAATGAAAATCCATCTTGCATATCAGATATTTACATTACAATTCATAACAATAGCAAAATGACAGTTATGAAGTAGCAACGAAAATAATGTTATGGTTGGGGGTCACCACCACATGAGGGACTCTATTAAGGGGTCACGGCATTAGGAAGGTTGAGAACCACTGGTCTATTTCCTTTCCTTCACAGGGGCGTAGTCTTTGGGAGTAAGGGATTCCAGACAGTCTTCCTCTAAGGGAAATACTGGTTGTCTGGAATTCCTTACTCCCAAAGACTACGCCCCTGTGAAGGAAAAGAAATAGAGACTGTTAGGAATTGCGGGAGTTGAAGTCCAAAAATCCTAACAGGGTCTATTTCCTTTCCTTCACAGGGGCGTAGTCTTTGGGAGGAAGGGATTCCAGACAGTCTGCCTCTAAGGGAAATACCAGCTGTCTGGAATTACTTACTTCCAAAGACTACGCCCCTGTGAAGGAAAGGAAATAGATCCTGTTAGGAATTGCGGGAGTTGAAGTCCTGGAGGGCCGAAGTTTGCCCAGGCTGGCTGTATAATCTCGAAGAAGAGGTGCCTTCTTCTGTTCTGTTTTTGTTCATTTCCTTCTCTTTTTGCTCATCTCTGCAGGGTTTTCCTTTCTGGTCTGAATATCTCTCTTGCTGGAACCTGAAAGGTTTTTATCTGTTGGCTTTCTTTTCTCCTTGACTTGCTGTCTTCACAGAAGCATATGGTTTCCTCCTTCCAACTAACTAGCTTTGACTTGTGTTTTGAGTGACTTGGATAACCAATTCCTGTATTGTGAGATAACCGGGCGGGGAATAAGGCGACGCAATACAAGACCGAGCCTTGACTTTGACAACAACGGTGTGGGACGGATCTGTGTGTGATTTGGCATGAGCTGATCTTCGTGGTTCGTCCGAAGCATGCCTTCCCGTGTTGCCCGCCGTGTCCTTGACGGTCGTTTGTTGTGCCTTTTGTGTCCCCTTCTTCTAGATCATGTTTGAGACCTTCAACACCCCAGCCATGTACGTGGCCATCCAGGCCGTGCTGTCCCTCTACGCCTCTGGCCGCACCACCGGCATTGTGATGGACTCTGGCGACGGCGTCACCCACACCGTGCCCATCTACGAAGGCTACGCCCTGCCCCACGCCATCCTCCGCTTGGACCTGGCCGGCCGCGACTTGACCGACTACCTCATGAAGATCTTGACCGAGAGAGGCTACAGCTTCACCACCACGGCCGAGAGGGAAATCGTCCGCGACATCAAGGAGAAGCTCTGCTACGTCGCGCTCGACTTCGAGCAGGAGATGGCCACAGCGGCTTCCAGCTCGTCCCTGGAAAAGAGCTATGAACTCCCCGACGGGCAGGTCATCACCATCGGTAATGAGCGGTTCAGGTGCCCGGAAGCCCTCTTCCAGCCATCCTTTTTGGGTAAGTTTCCAGAGACCTTTGAACATGAACACTCTGAACTTGGGGAGCAAACATCTCAGCGGAGGCGTTCCCAATCACGCGATGGTAACAATTGTCTCCCCTTGTTCTCTCCTGGCAGGTATGGAGTCCTGCGGCATCCACGAAACCACCTTCAACTCCATCATGAAGTGCGACGTGGATATCCGCAAAGACCTGTACGCCAACACCGTCCTCTCTGGCGGCACCACCATGTACCCAGGCATCGCCGACAGGATGCAGAAGGAGATCACAGCCCTGGCTCCCAGCACAATGAAAATCAAGGTGAGGAATAACCCCCATCATCCTCATCATCTTTATTTATAGCCCACTCTATCTTCCTGAAGGGACTTGGGGCGGTTTCCAACAAATATGGCAAATTCACATATACACATGCACACACATAAATACGCACACATATATTCATACACATATGTGTATGTGTGTTTACACATATTTGTGCATGTATATATATAGATATAACAATAGGTACCTCTTCAGCAGGAAGAGTCATGCTGGCCACATGAACTTGGAGGTGTCTGTGGACAATACCAGCTCTTTTGCCTAGAAATGGAGATGAGCACTGCCCTCCAGAGTCTGACATGACTAGGCTTAATGTCAAGGGGAAACCTTTACCTTAACAAAGTGGCCAATATTCATTGCTAAAACAAACAAGCACTAAATAAATCAATTTATTTATCTATTTACTGTATTTATATTCTGCCCTTCCCACCCTGCAGGGGACTCAGGGCAGAATACAGTGTACACATAGATGGCAAACATTCAATGCCAATTAGACATACAAACATATACAGACATACACAGAGGCTATTTAACTTTTTCTGGCCGCCAGGGGAGCTGCCGCTTTCATCGTCCACCTGCGACGCTGATGAAGCGCTTCCGCATTCCCCGCATGTTTTTTGCTGGAGTATTTTTTAAATTATTAGTTAATTTAGCCTCCCCACACTTTAAGGTGGTACCTAATTTTCCTACTTGACAGATGCAAATGTCCTTCGGGTTGCAAAGGTCGACAACAGGCTACACAATTGGTTGGAAACCCACTCCAACCCCGGGCTGGCTTTGAACTCATGACCTTTTGGTCAGAGTGATCCTGTTCAACATCTTTATTAATGACTTAGATGAAGGGCTAGAAGGCAGGATCATCAAGTTTGCAGACGACACCAAATTGGGAGGGAGAGCCAAGACTCCAGAGGACAGGAGCAGGATTCAAAACGATCTTGACAGATTAGAGAGATGAAAGGCCAAAACTAACAAAATGAAGTTCAACAGGGACAAATGCAAGATACTCCACTTTGGCAGGAAAAACAATGCAAAGATACAGAATGGGGGACGATGCCTGGCTCGAGAGCAGGACGTGTGAAAAAGATCTTGGAGTCCTCGTGGACAACAAGTTAAACATGAGCCAGGAATGTGATGTGGCGGCAAAAAAAGCCAATGGGATTTTGGCCTGCATCAAGAGGAGCATAGTGTCTAGATCTAGGGAAGTCATGCTCCCCATGCTCTATTCCACCTTGGTTAGACCACATTACCTGGAATATTGTGTCCACAATTGAAGAGAGATATTGACAAGCTGGAATGTGTCCAGAGGAGGGCGACTAAAATGATCAAGGGTCTGGAGAACAAGCCCTATGAGGAGCGGCTTAAGGAGCTGGGCATGTTTAGCCTGAAGAAGAGAAGGCTGAGAGGAGACATGATAGCCATGTATAAATATGTGAGAGGAAGCCACATGGAGGAGGAGGGAGCAAGCTTGTTTTCTGCTTCCCTGGAGACTAGGACGCAATGGAACAATGGCTTCAAACTACAAGAGAGGAGATTCCATCTGAACATGAGGAAGGACTTCCTGACTGTGAGAGCCGTTCAGCAGTGGAACTCTCTGCCCGGAGTGTGGTGGAGGCTCCTTCTTTGGAAGCTTTTAAACAGAGGCTGGATGGCCATCTGTCAGGGGTGATTTGAATGCAATATTCCTGCTTCTTGGCAGAATGGGGTTGGACTGGATGATGGCCCAGGAGGTCTCTTCCAACTCTTTGATTCTATGTTTCTGACCCTTTCTCCCACCTTCTTTCTTCCCTTGCAGATCATTGCCCCACCGGAGCGTAAATACTCTGTCTGGATCGGAGGCTCCATCCTCGCCTCGCTGTCTACCTTCCAGCAGATGTGGATCAGCAAGCAAGAGTACGACGAATCTGGACCTTCCATCGTCCACCGCAAATGCTTCTAAAAAAAAAAGGACTAGTTACCATAATAACGGTTTTTGACAAAAAAACAAAACAAAACCCCATAATTGCGCGTTAAAAACAAAAAAAGAGTTGAGATTTGGCATGGCTTTATTTGTGTTTTTTTTCCTTTCTTTTTTTTGGCGCTTGACTCAGGATATAAAAACTGGAACGGTGAAAAAGTTGGCAGCAGCAGTCTTTAGAGAAAAATAATAAGTGAAAACGTCCCTGTCCCCCCCCCAAAAAGTTCTACAATGCATCTGAGGACTTTGATTGTACATTTGTGTTCTTCTTCTTCTTCCTTTTTTTTAAATAGTCATTCCAAATAATAATAATTGTCTCGTAGTGCATTGAGAGGAAGTTAAACCCCCCGGGCCTCCGTCGGGAGGCATCGAAACAGCCTGGCTCTGGAAGGAGCGGAAACACGTTTTAATTCTGGGGAAGGATTGCTTGTAATAATCATGCGAATCGTTGAAAATCCAACAAGTGTCTTTCTGTATCTTGCGCCTTAAAACAAACAAACGAACCACCCCCCCCCCCTTTTGATCCTCTTTCCCTCCCCTTCCCCGTTTTAGGTCAAGCAAATAATAAATGATGATGACGATGGGCTGTATATGTTTCTCTTCTTCACAATCCAGTCGCAAAGGCTTGCAGTTAGCCCTTCCCTCTTCGTTGGGGGGGGGGGGAATCCTTACACAGATTTGGTGCCAGTATGTATTCGGGATCCAGTGGGGGCAGAACTGTACACTGACCTAAAAGAACGGTTCAAATAAAGATGCACACAATAGACTTCGTGTTGTCTGGCTCTTTCTGCTCTGAAGCGCATCGGTTCCAAATGGAGAATTACTTACTTCCTTCCTTACTTAGGCGATCCCTCGTTTTCCGAGGATGATTGCCTTCCAATATCCTTGTGGGTCCGTATTTATTTATTACTAGCGTGGGGACCCGGCGGGTTATTTGAGAAAGGTATTGTGTGGCAAAGGTGTTTTTTATCAGTTAGTGAAGGTACTGCGAATCCCATCGTGCATGGTCCATCCTCCTCCAAACAGCCCCTGGATGTAGAGTGGGTTATGGTGGGTCTGTGTGGCAAGTTTGATCCTGATCCATCAGTGGTGTGGGTCACAGTGGTCTCAGGAAGTTGGCGAATGTACTACAAGTCCCATCGTCCATGCTGCATCCTCCCCAAACCTCACCAGTATGTAGAGTGGGTCATGGGGGCTCTATGTGCCAAGTTTGGTTTTTATCATTCTTTGTTGGGGGCGGCAGTGTTCTGTGGAAACTGAAGGATTGGAAAGTACTACACATCCCATCATCCATTGTCTGTCCTCCCCCAAACCTCGCCAGGAACTAAAGGGGGTCATGGGGGTTATGTGTGCCAAGTTTGGTCTTGATCAGTCATCGGATGTGGGTCGCAGCAATCTCTGGAAGTGAGTGGAGGTACTTGAAGTCCCATTATCCATGGTTCGCCATCATCGGAAGCATCCCTATCTAACATCCAAGGGAGATTGTATTCCAGCCTTACCTCTTCCGAGAGTTGACTAGGCACAGGTTCTAGCCAGGTAGGGGGGGGGCTGAGGAGGTGGGCGCCATCCAAGTCGTGTGGGGGAGGAGACTCGTGGGTCACCATCATCCCAGGGAGAAGCGCAACAGAGTTCTTGCAACCCTGGAGAAGGTAGGAAGTGGTAGGCGCCATGGCAGTCCCCTCGGTCTTAAGGTCCTGCTGATCAATGCCAGATCCGTTAATGGTAAGACCGCGGCCATTCAGGACTTGATTCTGGATGAGAGAGCGGATCTGGCATGCATCACGGAAACCTGGCTGGATGAGCTGGGGGGAGTAAATCTCACCCAGCTGTGCCCACCGGGTTTCGGGGTGCATCAGCAGGCCAGACAAGGGGGGCGGGGAGGAGGGGTCGCAGTGGTCTTTCGGCAATCCATCGCCGTGGCCAGATGCGCTGTCCAGCAGGCACCTGGGTTTGAGTGTGTCCACCTGAGGGTGGGGAACCGTGACAGTGTGGGGTTTCTGCTGGTGTACCGCCCACCCCGCGACCCAGTAGTTTCCCTGTCTGAGCTAGCGGAGGTGGTCTCTAATTCAGCCCTGATCTCCCAGCGCTTGGTGGTGTTGGGAGATTTTAACATCCACGCTGAGACCTCTTTGTCTGGCGCAGCTCAGGATTTTATGGCCGCCATGACGACCATAGGACTGTCACAAATCATATCAGGTCCCACCCATCAAGCTGGACATACTCTTGACCTAGTTTTTGTGGCAGACAGTGGAATGATCAGAGTGGAAGAGCAAAACATTCTTCCAGTGTCATGGTCTGATCACTATCTGGTCAGCTTTAGGCTCGCTGCGACCACCAACCTTCGCAGGGGTGGAGGACAAATTAAGATGGTCCGCCCCAGGAGACTGATGGATCCGGATGGATTCCTGAGGAATCTTGGGGTTCTTCCTGCCATGGAACCTGGCGATCCTGTTGACGCCTTGGTCGACCTTTACAATAGGGAGATATCCAGGGCGATAGACACGATCGCTCCCGAACGCCCCGTCTCGTTGCGTCATGACAGGCCGTCTCCTTTGTTTACCGAATGATCGCTCCCGAACGCCCCGTCTCGTTGCGTCATGACAGGCCGTCTCCTTGGTTTACCGAGGAGTTGGCTGTGATGAAGCATACGAGAAGGGGGCTAGAGCGCAAATGGAGGAAATCTCGGGACGTGTCTGATCAAGCACGGGCTAAGGCCTCTCTTAAGGCATACTCCGTGGCTATACGGGCGGCCAGGGAATCCTTCACGACCGCCCGGATAGCGTCTGCATCGAATAGGTCATCAGAGCTGTTTCGGGTTGTCGGGGAGCTCCTTTACCCATCTGTGGTTGATGAGACTCCTGACGACCCAGCAGCTCGGTGTTGCGATTTCGCACACCACTTTGCAGGCAAGGTTGCCCAGATACGTCTCGAGCTCGATTCCAATTTCATCGCAGCGCCAGAGGAGGTGACTGAGGCATCTGCTTGTCCTAATTTGTGGGATTCTTTTCGGCTTGTTCTACCTGAGACCGTGGAGGAGGTTCTTGGGGCTGTGAGGGCGACCACTTCGGCCCTAGACCCTTGCCCATCCTGGCTCATTAAATCTGCCAAGGAGGGGCTGGTTGATTGGTTTGTGTTGATCATTAACGCATCGTTGGAGCAAGGGATTTTTCCATCTAACTTGAAACAGGCTGTGGTTCGCCCACTCCTAAAAAAGTCGTCCCTTGACTCTACGGTGCTGAACAATTACAGACCGATCTCCAACCTTCCTTTTTTGGGTAAGGTGCTGGAGCGGGTGGTCGCCCTCCAGCTCCAGGGCTTCCTGGATGACATCAATTACCTGGATCGGGCACAGTCTGGTTTCAGGCCTGGTCATGGCACCGAGACAGCCTTGGTCGCCTTGGTGGATGACCTCCGTAGAGGACTGGACAGGGGGAGTGTAACCCTGCTGGTCCTCTTGGACATCTCAGCGGCTTTCGATACCATCGATCATGGTATCCTTCTGGGTCGGCTCTCTGGGATGGGCCTTGGGGGCACGGTTCTATCGTGGCTCCGGTCCTTCCTGGAGGGACGGACCCAGATGGTGAAGCTGGGAGATGCCTGCTCGGACCCCTGGCCTTTGACCTGTGGGGTCCCGCAAGGCTCTATTTTATCCCCCATGCTTTTTAACATCTACATGAAACCGCTGGGAGAGGTCATCCGGAGTTTTGGAGTTGGGTGCCATCTCTACGCAGATGACGCACAACTCTACTACTCTTTTCCACCTAATTCCAAGGAGGCCTCTCGGGTGCTAGACGAGTGCCTGGCCGCTGTGTCCATCTGGATGAGGACGAACAAGCTGAAGATCAATCCCGACAAGACAGAGGTCCTCCTGGTCGATCGCAAACCAGACCGGGGTATAGGGTGGCAACCTGTGTTGGACGGGGTTACACTCCCCCTGAAGCCACAGGTCCGCAGCTTGGGAGTCCTCCTGGATTCATCGCTTACGCTTGAGGCTCAGGCGTCGGCGGTGGCCGGGAGGGCTTTTGCACAACTGAGACTTGTGCGCCAGCTGCGACCGTACCTCGCGAAGGCTGATCTGGCCGGGGTGGTCCATGCCTTAGTCACCTCTAGACTGGATTACTGCAATGTGCTCTACGTAGGGCTGCCCTTGAAAACGGCTCGGAAATTCCAACTGGTCCAACGGGCAGCAGCCAGGATGCTAACGGGGGCCCCTTACAGAGAGAGATCAACCCTCCTGTTTAAGGAGCTCCACTGGCTGCCGTTCATTTTCCGAGCCCAATTTAAGGTGCAGGTGCTTACCTACAAAGCCCTGAACGGTTTGGGACCACCCTACCTGCGAGACCGCATCACAGTCTACGAACCCACACGCTCACTTCGGTCATCAGGAGAGGCCCTGCTCATGATCCCGCCCGCCTCGCAGGCGCGTTTGGTGGGGACGCGGGACAGGGCCTTCTCTGTGGTAGCCCCCCGCCTCTGGAATGCCCTCCCGAAAGATCTTAGACAGGCCCCTACTTTGGCGGTGTTCAGAAAGAACCTGAAAACCTGGCTGTTCCAACGTGCCTTCTCAGATTAGGAACCCCACTATCAAGCCCAGAAGCACTTTAGCAGAGTCAAGATCACCCTCAACGCACACTGCACTTATATATTTTTTAATCCCATATCCCTCCGACACTTTCAGCACTTTTAATCCTGTACCCTACTACGGCCGGCTCAGTTTTTAATAATGTTCTGTTGTATTGTTACTGCTATTGTTTTTCTGCTTCAACTGTTTTATTTGCTATGTATTGTATTGTTGTATTGTGTTGTTGTATTGTATTGGGCTCCGGCCTGTTGTAAGCCGCATCGAATCCTTTTGGAGATGCTAGCGGGGTACAAATAAAGTTATAATAATAATAATAATAATAATAATAATAATTCGCCCTCCAAACCATAGCAGGAAGTAGATTGGATCATGGGGGCTCTGTGTGCCAAGTTTGGTCTTTATCGGTCTTTGTTGGGGGCTGCAGTGGTCTGTAGGAGCCGAAGTGGTTGAAAGTACTACAAATCCATCATCCTTTGTCCGTCCTCCCCCATACCTCACCAGGACGTACAGGGGGTCATGGGGGTTATATGTGCCAAGTTTGGTCCAGGTCCGTCGCTCGTGCAAGTCTCTGTGGCCTGTGAAAGTGAGAGCCAATCAGAAAGCTGCCACATACACTTCCGCCCTCCGCATACATACATACATACATACAAACAAACACTCTCTTTTATTATATAGATAGATAAGATATAGATTTGGACTTCTATGCCGCCACTCCCCTGGGGCTCGGAGCGGCTAAAATCTAACACAGTTTAAAATCAATTTAAAAACAATTTAAAAACAACAATATCAAAGATCAAAGGCCTGTCGAAACAGGTATGTCTTACATGCCCTGCGGAAAGCTGGTAAGTCCCGCAAGGCACGGACTTCAGGTGGCAGAGTATTCCAGAGTGATGGTGCCACTGCTGTGAAGGCTCTGCGTCTGGTTGCTGTTAGACGCAAGGTCTTGACACTGGGAATTTCCAACAGATCTTGGTCCTCAGAACGGAGGGATCTCTGGGGTTGGTAGGGGGTGAGGCGGTCCCTCAGGTACATCGGCCCCAGACCATGCAAGGCCTTCAAGGTGAGGACCATCACTTTGAAAGTGATCCGGTGCTCAATTGGTAACCAATGCAGCTGCAGTAAGATTGGTGTTATGTGGCATCTCATCGGAATTCCCGCAAGAAGCCGAGCAGCTGCATTTTGTACCAACTTGAGCTTCCGGATCACCGGCAGAGGAAGGCCAATGTAGAGGGCGTTACAGTAGTCCAGTCTTGAGATGACCGTGGCCTGGATCACCGTAGCTAGGTCATCCCTGGACAGGTAGGGGGCCAGCCGTCTAGCCTGCCGCAGGTGAAACAAGGCGGTTCTGCTCACGGCGGAGACCTGGGCCTCCATTGTCAGCAGAGGGTCCAAAAGGACTCCCAGACTCTTTACCAATGATGACGGGCGTAGCGCCTCGCCATCCAGGGTAGGCAGCTGGATGTCCCCACTGCCCGGTCGACCCAGCCATAGGATCTCTGTCTTTGCTGGATTCACCCTCAACCTGCTGGCATGCAGCCATCCAGTCACGGCCTCGAGGCACCGATGGAAGGAATCGGGTAAATAGAAAACAAAAGATTATAAAAGAGAACAATATACAATAATATGATATTAAATTATATAGATATAAACAAAATAGAATTGTATAAAATATATAATAAAATAATTATAATATAGTATAATATTTAAAATATTATAATATTGTATAATAATATCATAATAAAGAATAGAAAACAAAAGATTATAAAAGAGAACAATATACAATAATACAATATTAAATTATATAGATAAATAAATAGATATAAACATAAAATAGAATTGTATAAAATATACAAGAGATCAAGAGAAGGTGGCGAGATTATACAGAAGATCTGTATAGGAAGGATAACAATATCGAGGATAGCTTTGATGGTGTGGTGAATGAATTAGAACCAGACATCCTGAGGAGTGAGGTTGAATGGGCCTTAAGAAGCATTGCTAACAACAAGGCAGCAGGAGACGACGGGATCCCAGCTGAACTGTTTAAAATCTTAAAAGATGATGCTGTCAAGGTGATGCATGCCATATGCCAGCAAATATGGAAAACACAAGAATGGCCATCAGACTGGAAAAAATCAACTTATATCCCCATACCAAAAAAGGGAAATGCGAAAGACTGCTCCAACTTCCATACAGTGGCCCTTATTTCTCATGCCAGTAAGGTAATGCTCAAGATCCTGCAAGGAAGACTCCAGCAATACATGGAGCGAGAGTTGCCAGATGTTCAAGCTGGGTTTAGAAAAGGCAGAGGAACGAGAGACCAGATTGCCAATATCCGCTGGATAATGGAGAAAGGCAGGGAGTTTCAGAAAAACATCTATATCTGCTTCATTGACTACTCTAAAGCCTTTGACTGTGTGGATCATAACAAATTGTGGCAAGTTCTTGGTGGGATGGGCATCCCAAGCCACCTTGTCTCTCTCCTGAGGAATCTGTACAAGGACCAAGTAGCAACAGTCAGAACTGACCACGGAACAGGAGACTGGTTCAAGATTGGGAAAGGCGTCCGGCAAGGCTGCATCCTCTCACCCAACCTCTTTAACTTGTATGCAGAACACATCATGCGATGTGCGGGGCTGGATGAATGCAAAGCTGGGGTGAAAATTGCTGGAAGCAACATTAACAACCTCAGATATGCAGATGACACCACTCTGATGGCCGAAAGCGAGGAGGAGCTGAGGAGCCTTCTAATCAAGGTGAAAGAAGAAAGCGCAAAAGCTGGGTTGCAGCTAAACATCAAAAAAACCAAGATTATGGCAACAAGAATGATTAACAACTGGAAAATAGAGGGAGAAAATGTGGAGGCCGTGACAGACTTTGTATTTCTAGGTGCAAAGATTACTGCAGATGCAGACTGTGGCCAGGAAATCAGAAGACGCTTACTTCTTGGGAGGAGAGCAATGTCCAGTCTCGATAAAATAGTAAAGAGTAGAGACATCAGACTGGCAACAAAGATCCGCCTAGTCAAAGCCATGGTATTCCCTGTAGTAACCTACGGATGTGAGAGCTGGACCTTAGGGAAGGCTGAGCGAAGGAAGATAGATGCTTTTGAACTGTGGTGCTGGAGGAAAGTTCTGAGAGTGCCGTGGACTGCGAGAAGATCCAGCCAGTCCATCCTCCACGAAATAAAGCCCGGCTGCTCATTGGAGGGAAGGATACTAGAGACAAAGTTGAAGTACTTTGGCCACATCATGAGGAGACAGCAAAGCCTAGAGAAGACAATTATGCTGGGGAAAGTGGAAGGCAAAAGGAAGAGGGGCCGACCAAGGGCAAGATGGATGGATGGCATCCTTGAAGTGACTGGACTGACCTTGAAGGAGCTGGGGGTGGTGACGGCCTACAGGGAGCTCTGGCGTGGGCTGGTCCATGAGGTCACGAAGAGTCGGAGACGACTGAACGAATGAACAACAACATAAAATATACAATAAAATAAAAATAAAATAATTATAATAATATATTATAATATAATATTAAAATATTATAATATAGTATATTATCATAAGAAATAATAGAAAACAAAAGATTATAAAATGTACAATAAAATAAAATAATTATAATAATATATCAAAATATAATATTTAAAATATTATAATCTTGTATAATAATATAATAAATAATAGAAAATATTATAAAAGAGAACAATATACAATAATATATTAAATAATAAAGATATAAACATAAAATAGATTTGTATAAAATTTATAATAAAATAAAAATAAAATAATTCTAATATAATATCATAATATAATATTTAAAATATTATAATGTAGTATAATATTATTATCATAAATAATAGAAAACAAAAGGTTATAAAAGAGAACAATATACAATAATATAATATTAAATTATATAGATATAAACATAAAATAGAATTGTATAAAATATACAATAAAACAAAAATAATTATAATAATATAATATAATATTTAAATTATATAGATAAATAAATAGATATAATCATAAAATAGAATTGTATAAAATATATAATAAAATAAAATAATTATAATAATATAATATCATAATATAATATTTAAAATATTATAATATAGTATGATATTATCATACATAATAGAAAACAAACGATTATAAAAGAGAACAATATACAATAATATAATATAATATTAAATTATATAGATAGATATAAACATAAAATTGAATTGTATAAAATATACAATAAAATAATAATAATAATAATAATAATATAATATAATAATATTGTATAATAATATCATAATAAATAATAGAAAACAAAAGGTTATAAAAGAGTACAATAATATATAATTAAATTATATAGATATAACCATAAAATAGAATTGTATAAAACATATAATAAAATAAAATAATTATAATAATATAATATCATAATATAATATTTAAAATATTATAATATAGTATAATAATATCATAATAAATAATAGAAAACAAAAGGTTATAAAAGAGAACAATATACAATAATATATAATTAAATTATATAGATATAACCATAAAATAGAATTGTATAAATATATATAATAAAATAAAATAATTATAATAATATAATATCATAATATAATATTTAAAATATTATAATATAGTATAATAATATCATAATAAATAATAGAAAACAAAAGATTATAAAAGAGAACAATATACAATAATATAATATTAAATTATATAGATAGATATAAACATAGAATTGAATTGTATAAAATATACAATAAAATAAAAATAAAATAATTATTTTTATAATTTTAAATATTATAATATAGTATAGGATTATAATATTTAATATTATAAAAATATTAAATATTATTATGATATTATAATAATATATATAGTATTATTTTATAATATTTTAAGTATTATAATATAGTATAATATTATAATAATAATAATGAATAATAGAAAATCAAAGAGAACATATGAAACAATGAGTGAGGTGGTTGTTTTGAGGAAGAGTCTCTCCCAAGATGGCGCCGCCCTACGCCCCTGCCAAAATGGCGCCTCTGCTTTGCCTCTCTCAAAATGGCGGCCCGGCCTGCTACGGGTTGAGGGAGCGGGCTTGGGAGGACGAAGAGCCCTTCCCAAGATGGCGTCTCTGCTCGCCTCGGCCAAAATGGCGCCGCTCCTTTGCCTCTCCCAAAATGGCGGCCAGACCTCCTGCAAGCGGAGGGAGCGGAAGTGAGGTCACGAAAGCGCCGGAAGTGGTGCTAGCCTGGACCGGCTGGGAGGAAGCCCTGTGAGGAGAGAGATTGAGCCTCGCCGACGGCTGCTGTCAACGGGGGAAGCGGTTTGGAAGGGGGCCATGGCCTGCTCCGGAGAGGTAAGAGAGGCCCCCCTCCTTGGCCCTCCTCCCTTTCAGTTTCCATGGCAACTCCCAGTGCCCATGGCAACGCCTCGCTCCTCCTCCTTTCCTCCAGGCCTTGTTTCCCTTTGAGGCCTTCTCTGCCTTTGAGCGAGGATGTCTTGTCAAAGGCTTTCATGGCCCGCATCTTTCTGTCTGTTTATTTATTTATTTATCGTGTCATCAGCAACCATTGTATTACAATTCTAACAGAGCAAAACAAACACACAGATTAAAAAGAAAAAGGGAAAAAAACCCACACAGATTTTGCAAACTTGGTAGTTGGTTAAATGTCCTTTGACCAGTCTCTGGCCACTTGGAGTGCCTCTGGGGTTGCTGCAAGAAGGTCCTCCCTGGTGCATGTGGCAGGGCTCAGGGTGCATTGCAGCAGGTGGTCAGTGGTTTGCTCTTCTCTGCACTCGCATGTCGTGGATTCCACTTTGTGGCCCCATTTCTTGAAGGTTGGCTCTGCATCTCGTGGTGCCAGAGCGGAGTCTGTTCAGCGCCTTCCAAGTCGCCCAGTCTTCTGTGTGCCCAGGGGGGAGTCTCTCATTTGGTATCAGCCATTGGAGGTTCTGGGTTTGAGCCTGCCACTTTTGGACTCTCGCTTGCTGGGGTGTTCCAGCGAGTGTCTCTGTAGATCTTAGAAAACTATGTCTTGATTTAAGTCGTTGACGTGCTGGCTGATACCCAAACAGGGGATGAGCTGGAGATGTCTCTGCCTTGGTCCTTTCACTATTGGCTGCTACTTCCCGGCGGATGTCAGGTGGTGCAATACCAGCTAAACAGTGTAATTTCTCCAGTGGTGTAGGGCGCAAACACCCCATGATAATGCGGCATGTCTCATTAAGAGCCACATCCACTGTTTTAGCATGGTGAGATGTGTTCCACACTGGGCATGCGTACTCAGCAGCAGAGTAGCATAGCGCAAGGGCAGGTGTCTTCACTGTGCCTGGTTGTGATCCCCAGGTTGTGCCAGTCAGCTTTCCTATGATGTTGTTTCTAGCGCCCACTTTTTGCTTGATGTTCAGGCAGTGCTTCTTGTAGGTCAGAGCACGGTCCAAAGTGACTCCCAGGTATTTGGGTGTGTTGCAATGCTCCAATGGGATTCCTTCCCAGGTAATCCTCAGAGCTCGGGATGCTTGTCTGTTCTAGGTGAAAGGCGCATGTCTGTGTTTTAGATGGATTAGGGATCAGTTGGTTTTCCCTGTAATAGGCAGTAAGAGCACCTAGAGCTTCGGAGAGCTTCTGTTCTACCATCTCAAAGCTCCCTGCTTGAGCAGTAATGGCACGATCATCAGCATAGATGAAACTCTCTGTCCCTTCTGGCAGTGGCTGGTCATTTGTGTAGATGTTGAACATGGATGGAGCAAGCACGCTCCCCTGAGGCAGGCCATTCTTCTGTTTCCGCCATCTGCTTCTCTGGCCCTGGAACTCAACAAAAAAGCTCCTGTTTTGTAGCAGGTTTCCTATGAGGCGGGTGAGGTGGTCATCCTTTGTGATACTATACATTTTTCTCAGGAGGAGGCGGTGGTTCACAGTATCATAGGCTGCTGACAGGTCTATGAAGACAGCTCCTGTGATCTGCTGCCTTTCAAAGCCATCTTCTATGTGAAGCAACCAGATACCAATAAAATTACATTAATTGAAGGTTAAGAGTTTAACTAACAGAACAACATATTATCGAAGGCTTTTATGGCCAGAAATCACTAGGTTGTTGTAGGGTTTTCAGGCTGTATGGCCATGTTCCTGAAACAATCTCTCCTGATGTTTCGCCTGCATCTCCTGATGTTTCGCCTGCAACAGAACTCTTGTGTGTTGGAGGTAGGTGTGAATATTTCAATTGGCCACCTTGATTAGCATTTGATGGCCAGAGAGTTTTTAAGTGTGCCCTGTTCCTGCATGGGGGAGTCTTTTGTTGAGAGATGATTAGATTTTCCTGACAGTTTCTTGTCTGGAGTTCCCCTGTGTTTGAGTTTTGTTTTTTATTTACTGTTAGAATTTTAGAGTTTTTTTTTAGTACTGGTAGCCAGATTTTGTTCATTTTCATGGTTTCTTCCCTTCTGTTGGAATTGTCCACATGCTTATATATTTCAATGGCTTCTCTGTGTAGCCTGACATGGTGGTTGTGAGAGTGGTCCAGGATTTCTATGTTCTCAAATGATATTCTATGTCCCGGTTGCTTCATCAGGTGCTCTGCTATGGCTGACTCCTCTGGTTGAAGTAGTCTGCAGTGACTTCCGTGTTCCTCGATTCGTGTTTGGGCAATGCTACGTTTGGTGGTCCCTATGTAGACTTGTCCACAGCTGCATGGTATATGGTAGACAACATTGCTCCTTAGGTTGCTGAATTTGACACTGGTTTATGTACTTTGCGGCACATAAAGACGCAGTGGAAACATTACACTTTTCCATCCATGACTGGCCAACTTCAGCGGGAATTTGGAAACTGTGTCTCTCTGGGTATATTTGGACAGCAGCTCCTATCATCTCTCCTCTTTGATTATGCGAACTGAAGGCCAACAAACGCTGGAAGATCATAGTACTTTGACTCTGGTTTCAATAAATCATCATTAAAGTTCTGTGATCTTCCTAGAGCATAAATTGAGAAGCACCCATGAGATCTTATAAAAGTTGATTACTGTTTTCCTTGGACTCATCCACACAGCCATATAACCCAGAATATCAAGGCAGAAAATCCCACAATATCTGCTTTGAACCCAGGTTTTGTGCCTGAATCGTGGGAGGTCTACTTGGCCACGGTGGTCCACACTCTGGTTACATCCCATATAGACTACTGCAATGGATTCTACGTGGGGTTGCCTCTGAAGAATGCCCGGAAGCTCCAGCTAGTCCACTCGGCAGCCAAGTTGCTCACGGGAGCCGGGTACAGGAAGCATAGAATTCACTTGCTACGCCAGCTCCACTGGCTGCCTATTAGCTTCCGAGCACAATTCAAAGTGCTAGTTTTAACCTATAAATCCCTAAACAGTTCCAACCCAGTTTATCTGTCCAAAAGTATCTCCCTCTACAAACCACCAAGGACCTTAAGATCATGTGGGGGAGGCTCTGCTCTCGGTCTCACTGCCATCGCGGTTGGTGGGGATGAGAGAAAGGGCCTTTTCGGTGGTGGCCCCTTGGCTATGGAACTCCCTCCCTAATGAGGTCAGATCTGCCCCTTCTCTCCTTACCTTCCAGAAGAAACTTAAACCCTGGCTATGGGATCAAGCGTTCGCAGAATAGACCGATTTACTGGAGAAGACAAGACTGGATTGATTTGGGACACCAATTTTAACTTGGTGAACTTTTAAAATGTGTATTTATAATTATTTAATGCATTTAACTGTATTTTATGCTATGTTTTATTATGTCGGTACTGAATAGTGGCCTGTTGGAAGCGTCCTGAATCCCTCTTCGAAGGTTCAGAAGGACGGGGTAGAAATGTTTTAAATAAATAAATAAACTGAGTGCACGCTGCCATATATTTCGGTTCAAAGCAGAAAATGTGGGATTTATTCAGCTGTGCAGAAGGGGCCTTAATCAATTCAAGTGTTTTTTTAATTGAACTGTATCCCTTTTAGATCTTTTTCTTTCACCTATTCTAGCTTCCGAGTATTGATGCCTACTTTCTGTCTTCTCAGGAAGTGACAAGTGAGGAGAGCGGGGAGGAGAGCAATGGTATGAACTTAATGGATTTCTCAGATGAGATCCTCTTGCACATCCTGAGATACATTCCAGTTTCGGATCTTGTCCTGAATGTCCGGAGGGTCTGCCGGAAGCTTTCTGTCCTCAGTCTTGACAAAAGCCTCACCCACACGGTCATCCTACATAAGAACTATCAGGTGAGGAGCAAACCTTGAGAGGATCGCAGCCACAAAACAGAACTAACTGTGAGACTTGGATGTTTGGGGTTTTATTTCAGGATTTCACTTTGTTTTGATGTGCTGCTTTTGAGCTATCACAGAGGCCAGTGTATGTGTATGTGTGTGTGAGAGAAGGAATAAGTATGTAAGCAAGTTCAGTAGTAGCATATGTCAGAAATATTAAGGATTAACTAAGTATTTTTGATTACAAAAATGTGAGTCAAGCACTAGGATAGTTAGGCTGAAGAGCAAACCACAGACCACCTGCTACAATGCAGCCTGAGCCCTGCCACATGCACAATGGAGAACTGTCTTCTGCCCCCCTCTCTCTTCACTCTGGTCAGAGCAGCAGCTGGTGCCGGGGATGGGGAGCCCTCCCAACTCTAACAGGCTTCAGCCTACTTATTTATTTATCGTATCAGGAGCGAACCAAAGTATTTGAGAAAACACAAAGTTTAAAAACTTGGCATTCTATTAAATGTCCTTTGACCAGTAGCTGGCCACTTGAAGTGCCTCTGGTGTTACTATAAGAAGGTTCCATCTTGTCTCCTGCCTATATCATCAGTTGGGAGCCCCCGACACCAACTGCTGCTTGACCAGAGTGAAGAGAGAGGGGCTACAGTTGAAGACAGTTCCATCTTGTCTCCTGTGTTTTACTTATAATATAATATATTGTATATCCATATAATATTTATAATATTATAATGTAATGTAATGCAATATAATACTAATGGTAATAATGAAATATTATAATTATATATTTTATATTACATGTAATATTACTAATACTATATAACGTCTATATGCGCCCACTTGCTCAGCTGGTCCGAGGTTTTGGGCTTGAGTGTTACCAGTACGCTGATGACATTCAGCTTATGTTGAATGTACCCGATAATTTTTCATCAATGCCTCGAGGCTTTTACTGGATGGCTGCGTGCCAGCAGGTTGAGGGTAAACCCGGTAAAAACGGAGATTCTGTGGCTGGGTCGACCGGGCAGTGGGGATATCCAGCTGCCTACCCTGGATAACGAGGCGCTACGTTATTGGTAAATAGTCTGGGAGTCCTTTTGGACCCTCTGTTGACGATGGAGGCTCAGGTCTCCGCCGTTAGCAGAACCGCTTTCTTTCACCTGCGGCAGGCTAGACGGCTGGCCCCCTCCCTGTCCAGCGACGACCTAGCTACGGTGATCCAGGCCACGGTCATCTCAAGACTGGACTACTGTAATGCCCTCTACATTGGCCTTCCTCTGTCAGTGATCTGGAAGCTCAAGTTGGCACAAAATGCAGCTGCTCAGCTTCTTGCGAGAGCGCCAATGAGATGCCACATAACCCCAATCTTACTGCAGCTGCATTGGTTACCAATTGAGCACCGGATCACTTTTAAAGTGATGGTACTTACCTTTAAAGCCTTGCATGGTCTGGGGCCGATGTACCTGAGGAACCACCTCACCCCCTACCAACCCCAGAGATCCCTCCACTCTGAGGACCAAGATTTATTGGAAGTCCCCAGTTTTAAAACCTTGCGTCTAACAGTAACCAGACGCAGAGCCTTCACAGTAGTGGCACCATTGTTATGGAATACTCTGCCACCAGAAGTCCATGCCTTGTGGGATTTATCAGCTTTCTGCGGGGCTTTCAAGACATATTTGTTTCGACAGGCTTTTGATCTTTGATGTGTTGTTTAATTTGTGTTAGATTTTAGTTTGCTCTTGTAAGCCGCTCCGAACCCTAGGGGAGTGGCAGCATATAAGTTTGAAATATAAATAAATAAATAAATACTATTACAATATAATGGTGTAGTACAATATAGTAATATATAATACTGATATTGCACTATGCTAATAATTTAATATATTGTATGTATATGTAGATATACACACATGCAGTCATGCCGGCCACATGACCTTGGAGATGTCTACGGACAACGCTGGCTCTTCAGCTTAGAAATGGAGATGAGCACCACACTCCAGAGTCAGACATGACTGGACCTTTACCTTTACCTATACCTATACCTATATATGTGAGAGGCTTCTCTCACAGTGAGGTTTACCTCACACTCCTTGGAACAACACTAGCTTTGGCCCACTGACTCTGACTCTAACAAGATATAGATATATATATCTTGTAAGCCACTCTGAGTCCCCTTCGGGGTGAGAAGGGCAGCATATAAATGTTGTAAATAAATAAATAGAGTCAGTGGGCCAAAGTTAGTGTCGTCCTGAGGAGAGTGAGTGGGCCGAAGCCTGTTAGAGTCAGTGGGCCAAAGCTAGTGTTGTTCCAAGGAGTGTGAGGTAAACCTCACTGTGAGAGAAGCCTCGTATGAGAAAGGTCCAGTGTGAAGGCTGCTGCATGTAAAGTTACTATGTATTTGTTTATTTGTATTATAGAAACGTCCTTGCAAATAGTGCAACCATAATATTTTACTACAAAGAAAGGCCTGTGGAAGACATAACATTGGTCTCTGTGTTTTTGTCCTTTTTATCACTTTGGGCTACTGGTGCTGGGTCACGCTGCTGCTAAGTTACTCTGCTGTGCATTTATAATCTATATAAATGAAAATGTAATGTTTGTTTGTAGGATTAAGATAACTCAAAAACCACTGAGCGAATTGACACCAAATTTGGACACAAGACACCTATCAGGCCAATGAGTGATCATCACTCATAAAAGCACTGAAAAACACAGCAGAAGGGACTTTAAAAGCAAATAAAATACATTACAATGCATGCGCAAACCACATATATACACACGCAAAACACATATACACAGACTGGGCCACAGCAACACATAGCAGGGGACGTCTAGTATTAATAATAAAACTTTATTTATATACTGCTTTATCTCCCCGGGGGGACTCAGGGTGGTTTCCAAGCAAAAACAACAAAAGCATGCAGAGTCACAACATGAACAAAAAATAACAGTAACAGCAACATAAGCATGAAATTACCCAACAACGCATAAATATTAAAAGAAAAGAAGGAGGGTCTTTTGTTAATAAGCCCACTTGCCCAACAACATACTGTTTATCAGTTCTGTTTCAAAAATTGGATGTATGAGCATGTGGTGGACCATCCCAACTGTAATTGCTGCCACACATTTTTCTTTTCTTTGACTTCAGGTGGACAAAGGCAAAGTGAAGCAACTCATGAGGGAAATCGGCATAGACATTCACGAGCTGAACATGGCTGGCTGCTATTGGGTGCCGGGGATGACCATCGACCAGGTGACGCGCTGCAAAAACCTGAGGAAGCTGAACTTGTCTGGCTGCCACCTCACCTCCCTTCGCCTCTCCAAGATGCTCTCGGCCTTGCAGCACCTCCGCTCCCTGGCAATCGATGTGAACCCGGGTTTTGATGCCTCCCACTTGAGTAGCGAATGCAAAGCTACGCTGAGCCGAGTGCTGGAGCTCAAGCAGACGCTCTACACTCCCTCGTATGGGGTGGTGCCGTGTTGCACCAGCCTCGAAAAACTCCTCCTGTATTTTGAGATCCTCGACCGGTCGCGAGAGGGTTTAATCATCTCTGGGCAGTTGATGGTGGGCGAGAGTAATGTGCCCCACTACCAAAACCTCCGGGTCTTCTATGCTAGGTTGGCTCCCGGACCGGTCAACCAGGAGGTGGTGAGGCTCTACTTGGCGGTGCTGAGTGACCGGACTCCGGAGAAACTCCATGCCTTTCTGATCTCTGCTCCTGGTGGTTTTGCGCAGAGCTGTGCCGTGAAAAACCTTTTGGACTCCATGGCCCGGAATGTGACCTTAGATACCTTACAGCTCCCCCGTTCTTGGATGAATGGCTCCAGCCTGCTCCAGCTTTTGAAGTTCAGCAACCCCGTCTATTTCAGCTTCAGTCGCTGCAGCTTATCTGGCAGCCAGCTGGTCCAAAGGGTCCTGAATGGCGGGAAAGACCTCCGCAGCTTGGTCGGTTTGAACCTGAGCGGCTGTGTCCACTGCCTGTCTCCGGACTCCCTCCTGCGCAAGGCGGAAGACGACATCGACAGCAGCATTGTGGAGACGCTGGTCGCGTCCTGCTGCCACCTGAAGCACCTGAACCTCTCCGCGGCCCACCACCACAGCTCGGAAGGCATGGGCAAACACTTATGCCAGCTTCTTGGCCAGCTAAAAGGCCTTCTGTCTTTGGCCTTGCCTGTTTGTGCCGTTGCCGATGTTTCCATCACAACGACTGACAAGCCGACAGTGCAGCCGGTGGCTAATGCAGCCTCCCAAGGGTTTGGCAAGAAGGTCCGGATTGGGGTCCAGACCTATTCCAGGAACTGCCTTGAGCAGGGGAACTCCAAGCCCCCTTCGTCTGTATTTTGGACTCTCCTGGAAAGCCTTCCTTTTTTGGAGAAGCTGGAGTTGATCGGTTCCAGTTTCTCCTCGGCCATGCCGAGGAACGAGCCAGCCATCCGGAACTCCCTGCCTCCCTGTAGCCGGGCGCAGCTTGTTGGGGATGCCGAGATGGCTGCCATTGGCCAGCTGGCCTTCTTGCAGAACCTCACTTTGGCCCAGCTGCCCAATGTTCTCACCGGCTCTGGACTGATTAGCATTGGCGTCCAATGCCAACGCCTGCGGACTCTCTCACTGGCCAACATCGGCCTTATGGGGAAAGTGATGTATATATCAGCCCTCATGGACATGCTGAAGCAGTGCAAGTGCTTGCAAGATCTCAGGTGAGAGGGACAGAGGCTGGCTTCTCTGTTGTGGCCATCAGGGTCGCTCTTGTGTTAAGTAAAAATCCGCGAAGTAGGGACGACATATTAATTTTAATATTTATACATTATTTTATATATTATTTTCTTAACCGCACTTCCTTACCCACCTCCTGGCCCATCCCAAGGGCACCTGCTGGACTCCGCAGAGCCTCTGGAGCCACGCAGGCAGAGGCAGCCTTCCCCACCATGCCTCAGGCCGCCGCACTTTTGGGGACTGTGGAGGCCAGGGAGACAGGCCTTCCCTGCTGTGCCTCAGGTCGCCGCACTTCTGGGGTCTCTGACCTCCACGAGACGTAAATATTTCATATATTTTTATATTATATTTCATAAATATTTCATATACTTTTAAAAGCCTGCAAAACAGCAAGTCCGCTAAAAGCAAACCGCGAAGTAGCAAGGGAACACTATAATTTTTCTAGTGGTTTAGGATGTAGGCATCCTGTGATAATGTGGCATGTCCCATTAAGAGCCACATCCACTGTTTTAACGTGGTGAGATGTGTTCCACACTGGGCATGCATACTCAGTAGCAGAGTAGCATAGCTCAAGGGCAGATGCCTTTACTGTGTAGGTTGTGATCCCCAGGTTGTGCCAGTCAGCTTTCGTATGATATTATTTCTAGTATTCACTTTTTGCTTGATACTCAGGAAGTGCTTCTTGTAAATTGGAGCATGGTCCAGGGTAAGTCCCAAGTATTTTGGAATGCTGCAGTGCTCCAGTGGGGTTCCTTCCAATAACAACAACAATTTTATTTATACCCCGCCATATCTCCCTGAGGGGACTCAGAGCAGCTTACAACAGTGTAAACAACACAATAATCTATATAAATAAAAATGTAATGTTCGTTTGTGGGATTAACATAACTCAAAAACCACTGGACGAATTGACACCAAATTTGGCGGCAAAACACATTCTAGTCCGATCTATGTCTTTCAAACAAAAAAAAAAACGTTAAAAAATGAAGGGAAAATAAGTTAAACCTCCACAAAAAGAAAAATGCCTTACAGAGCATGCGCAAAAGCCCCTCTCCCCATTGCGTGAGAAGAATGAAGCACCAACCGTTGTGAGGGAAGAGAAGCCTCATCATGGAGTCCCTTTCCATGCAGGAAGGCAGAATCCTTTTTCTTTTGGGGAGGGGAGGAAGTGAGGAAAGGAAAGAGGGAAGGAAGGAGAAGTCCTGGCCCAACGGAGGGGTGGGAGCTTGGCGAGGCAAGCCCCGGCAGCAGCTGGAGCCACCGCAGTGGCTCCATGAGGCCCACATGGCTACCAGGCAACTCTTCCCCTAAGACCAGAAGATTGCAAGGCAAGCCTGACTGCAGGAGCAGCTGGAACCCCCCCCCCCCCGGGTTGGGTGAAGGGAGGATGCGAACCATGAGAAGGCCAGCAACTCTCCCACTTGGGCTCCACATCCCCCCTTTCACCCCCCCCCCAAAAAAAAACCCTTAAAAACCCTTACAAACTGTTTCGGAGGAAGGAGGGGAAAGAAAGGGAAAGAAGAGAAGAAAGGAAGAAAAGGATTGGTGAAGAGAAGATTATGAATGGAAGGAAAGGTAGAAGGAAAGAAAAAGGAAGGAGGGGAAAGGTGGCCGGGATGGGAAAGGAAAGGAAAGGAAGAGGCAGGGAAGGAACAAAGAAAGAAGGGGAAACTGGTGAAGGGAAGAGAAGAATATAGAATCAGAGAGTCCTAGAGTTGGGAGATACCTGGTGGGCCATCCAGGCTAACCCCATTCTGTGAAGAAGCAAGAAAATCACATTCAAAGCACCCTCAACAGATGGCCACCCAGCCTCTGTTTCAAAGAGGCTATTTTGAGTGTTTTGACCAGCATAAATATAATTGAAAAGCCTTGCAGCTTCAGTGGCTGCTTCTCATTACTTTATTTTCCATACCACCTTGCACCTTAACAGCCTGGCTTGTACTAGCCAGCAGGAAACCTTTGGTGGGAGGACTTCCCTAGCCCAGATTGCTTTTTGTCTGCAAATCCTCTGTTTTCTGAGGGCCACAGCAATGCGTGGCCGGGTACAGCTAGTAATCAAAATAAAATGATGATAGGAAAACAATAAACCAGTAACCAATTTAAATAGCATCAACACAAGTAACTAAACAATCCATCAAAGTGAAAAGTAAACAGAACATATTAATTAAAAAAACCAAAACAGATAAACCTTTTTCTCCCAAATAAACAAATAGCTTTGAAGCAGCTCTCTGAAGTTAATTGGGAGGGTTTTCCCCCTCTGTCTGGTTCATGAAATAAAGCTTTTCTTACAATGGATGGGGAAAATTGAGATACTCCCAGTGTTAAAATATTATTTTCAGAGTATAACAAAGCAACAGTGGCACCTGGTGGAATTGATGGTGTATGGCATGATAAGTATTTTCCACTCACCCACTGCCTTTTGTGAAGAATAGATTAGAACAACAGTTCTCAACTTGTGGGTCCCCAGGTGTTTTGGCCTACAACTCCCAGAAATCCCAGCCAGGTTACCAGCTGTTAGGATTTCTGGGAGTTGAAGGCCAAAACATTTGGGGACCCACAGGTTGAGAACCACAGTCCTAAAGCATGGTCTCACCTGCTTTCTCCTTAGCCATTAGCATTGCAAAATGGTGCATGTGCAAAGCCTCCCAGGGTGCCATTTTTCTCCAGACTTGCAAAGCTGCCTTTCAGACTGGGTCTCCCAGTATCCCATGGCCAGCATGATCATGAGCTGGGGATTCTGGGAGATAATGGCTTCCGAACATTGGTCTCCCTTTAGAGAAATGCTAAGGTCTGTGCCGTTCATGTGGGTCTCCGTTGTCCCTTGCAGGCTTGAGCAGCCGTACTTCAGTGCCAACGCTCAGTTCTTCCAAGCCTTGAGCCACTGCTCTTCGCTGCAGCGCCTTTGCATCGTCTCCCGGAGCGGGACTTTGCAGTCAGATGCTGTGATGTCGTTCATGGCCAACTGCCTAGAGGTCATCATGTGCCACATGTTTACGGGAGAGTCGCTCACCGTTTGCAGAAACCTCCAACACTCCTTGATACGGAGGTGAGTGCAGACAGAAGGTATGACTCGGCTCCCCCGCTCAGCCTTTTCTTCCTACTGTGTGATTGATCAGTGATCTAACAATTGAGTTGAAAACCAAAAGGATTTCTGTCTCCTGGTTTGTGTCTTCATGGCTTGAACATTGGCGTCAATCAATCTGCTCAGAGCTTCTGACAAATAGGCTAAGATGAGGTGGCCAGGAAACAGATCAAAATCTACTTTTTGGACTCTTGTCTTGCAACAGATCAGAAAATTCCAAATGCTCAGTTCATCTAATATAAATAAAAATGTAATGTTCGTTTGTGGGATTAACATAACTCAAAAACCACTGGGCGAATTGACACCAAATTTGGACATAAGACACGTATCTGGCCAACAAGTGACCATCAGTCACAAAAACATTGAAAAACACAGCAGAAGAGACTTAATAGTCAAAAAAACCTAAAAATACATTACAACGCATGCGCAAAACCACTAGGCCTGGGCGGTTTCGTTTCGTTAATTCGTAATTCGTTAATAATTCGTTAATTTTTTCAATTACAAAACGATAACGAACCATTCTGGAGCAATTATAAAACGAATTTTCAAAAACGTTTTGTAAATGCTTCGTATTTCGATATTGTATTCGTTTCGTTATTGTTTTGAGGTCGTTTCGTTATTATTTACGCATGTCTGGGCCAGTTTTATGGTTTAATTAGTGAAAAAAAATATATAATATCACACCAACAGTCAACAACAGAGGGAGAGGGAAGCTTCAGAAGGTTTTGGAGGTTTTTTAGCGTATTTCGCGGTCGCGTCCGCCATTAACGAATCGATTCGTTATTGTTTCGGAAATCGATTCGTTAATTTTTTTCCATTTACGAAATTTCGTAAATATCGAACTTTTTAAAAGGAAAATTTTGTAATTATTTTAAATATCGAAACAAAAAAAAAACCCCAAATACAAATCGATTTTAGAAACAAATTTTTCCGTTGTTACCCAGGCCTAAAAACCACATATATACGCAAACCCACATATATACACAATTATATACAGAAATGTATACACACATATGCACACACAAAACATATACACATAAAGGGAGAAGGAAGGAAGGAGAAAAGGAGGGAGAGAAAGAGGGAAAGAAGGAGAGAAGGAAAGAAAGAAAGCTAGAGAAGGAAGGAAGGAGAGAAAGAAAGAAAGTGAAAGAGGGAGGGAAGGAAGGAAGGAAGGAAGGAAGAAAAGAGAAAGGAAGGATGGAACCAAAGAGCAAAGGAAGCGAGAAAAGAAACAGGTAGAGAAGGAAGAAAGAAGGGAAAGAAAAAGAGGGACAGAAGGAGAGAAAGAGGGAGGGAAGGTTGGCCACAGCAACGCATGGCAAGTACAGCTAGTTATCTATATAAATAAAAATGTCATGTTCGTTTGTGGGATTAACATAACTCAAAAACCACTGGACGAATTGACACCAAATTTGGACACAAGACACCTCTCAGGCCAACAAGTGACCATCACTCATAAAAACACTGAAAAACACAGCAGAAGGGACTTAAAAAGCCAAAAAAATAAAAATACATTACAACACATGTGCAAAACCACATATATACACATATACACAAAAATATATACATACATATACACAGACTGGGCCACAGCAATGTGTGGTGGGGATAGCTAGTTATTATTAATAATAATAATAATAATAATAATACTTTATTTATACGCTGCTACCATCTCCACAAGGGACTCGGTGTGGCTTACATGAGGCCAAGCCCACATTACATCAATAAACAAAAGCAATTAACAAAAGCAATCAAGACAACACAATTAATATAAATCACATAAACAAACAATAAACAGTAGCACACAGCATTCAAAAAACCAATGGCTGAGCCAAATGTGATAATTTAAAATTTAAAAAATAATGCTGGGCATGAACAAGGTAGGATATAACTGGGATAGGGTTTTTCAAAGAGAGATGAGGGAACGCAGTCAGTCCTAAATCAGTGGTAAAGTGCATTTTGAGGGCATATTGCTGAGAGTTTTCCTTATTCTGGGAAGGCACACTGGAACAACCACATTTTCAGGCTCCTCCTAAAGACTGCCAGAGTTGGGGCATGTCTGATGTCATTGGGAAGTGAGTTCCAGAGTTGGGGAGCCACCACCGAGAAGGCCCTCTCCCTCGTCCCCACCAATCGCGCTTGCGATGGTAGTGGGAGCGTGAGCAGGCCTCTCCAGATGATCGAAGAGATCGTGTGGGTTCGTACACAGTAATAATATTTAGGTTTGAATTTGGATCCTTGTGAGAGGCTAAATCAGGCATAGGTCAACTTCGGCGTTCCTCCAGGTGTTTTGGACTTCCTCAATTCCTAACAGCCTACTGTTAGGAACTATGAGAGTTGAAGTCCAAAACATTTGGAAGGCTGAAGTTTGCCCATGCCTGGGCTAAACTAGTGAGGTGTATAAATCAACCATGCATCTGTTGTTTTTTTTTCCAGTATGGCTAGAAAAACGTATTCATTTGTCTATACATATTGATGTCTTTGAAGCAAATCTGTCCCTACTCATTAGAATGGGAAATCATGGGATGGCGTTGTTCTATAAACCATTGGTATCTAAATGATCTTCAGTACCTGAACTGGGCCCATATGGGGTTGACACTCTGGCACTTTAGTTGTGAATTGATGGCAGCTAATTTTAACTGCAGATGCTCTGCGTTTTAAACTGTTATTTTATTTTTTTGTGTTGATAGTGGTTGTCTTTATAATTTCTATGTGACGTTGTTTTATACTCATGCTGCACTTGGAGCGCATTGTAAGCCGCCCCAAGTCCCTCTGGGGAGACGCTGGTGGGATATAAATAATGTTTATTGTTATTTATTATAACCTCTGGTCTTCTGGTTTCTCTGCTTGATGTACCTTTGCCCTTTTCTTATACTCTATTGTTGCAAACTGAGCCAAGGACGCATGATTGCTGCACATTTGTTTGATGCTGAGAGCAGGAATGGGAACTTGAATGGGAACGTGCTTAAGAGGAAGGTGCGTCAAGCCAACCCCGACCGGGACAGTCTTCCACCTGGAAACGGATGCCCTCACTGCAGGAGAACATGCAGGTCAAGAATAGGGCTCCACAATCACCTCCGTACCCAATGGGTTCTGGACTCATTGCTGAGCCTGGAACCACAGGTTTCGGTGGTGGCCAGGTGTCACGATACTAGAGCTCTGCCGGTATTCAGGCAGAGGTGAATCAAACAAACACCAGTTTGTATATCACAGTTTAATTAAAGCAGCCCTTGCTTTCTGGCTGTTTTAATAGTCCAAAATATAAAATATAAAATATAAAGATAGCATTCAGTCACAGAATATAAAACTTAAAACTGATAGCAAATGCTACACCAGGGGTCCTCAAACTTTTTAAACAGAGGGCCGGGTCACAGTCCCTCAAACTGTTGGAGGGCCGGATTATAATTTGAAAAAAACATGAACGAATTCCTATGCACACTACACATATCTTATTTGTAGTGCAAAAACCACTTAAAACAATACAATAATTAAAATGAAGAACAATTTTAACAAATATAAATTTATTAGTATTTCAATGGGAAGTGTGGGCCTGCTTTTGGCTGATGAGATAGGATTGTTGTTGTGTGCTTTCAAGTTGTTACAGACTTAGGTTGACCCTGAGCGAGGGCCGGGTAAATGACCTTGGAGGGCCGCATCCGGCCCCCAGGCCATAGTTTGAGGACCCCTGTGCTACACCGTAGTCAAAGGGTCCAGTCCAGTGGTCAAATGCCAAGAGTTCAATGAGCAAAGTCCAGGGATCAAGAGTCTATACCGTAATCAAAAGCCAGTCCAAAAATTGAAGATTCCAGGGTTCCAAAAGTTCAGGAGACAGGTTAGGAAAATCCAGAAACCTGGGGAGGGGGGGACGGGGACAGCAGCATCTACCACCAAGATAAGACAATACTTTTCTGCCAAAGATCAGCTCTGTAGGTACTCCACATTTCTCAGGTGTATAACAGGGTTGTGAGGACAGTGTCTTTAGAGACAGGCATCTTGATCTCCCTACGGATATCCTGGTCCTCAAACACTCTGTGCTTCATTCGGAAAAATGCTGCACTCGCAGAGCTCAGGCGGCGTTGTATTTCAGTGTTAATGTTGACTTTTGTGGAGCGGTGGCTGCTGAGGTAGTGGAAATGGTCAACATTTTCTAATGTTACACCATTGAGCTGTATTTCTATCATCATCATTATTATTACTATTATTAGGGCTCTTATAATAATAATTATTATGAGATATATAATAATTAATTATTATAAGATAAATAATAATAATAATAATAATAATAATAATAATAATAATAATAAGGGCTCTGGAGCCTCCAGTGGCGCAGTGGGTTAAACCCCTGTGCCAGCAGGACTGAAGGTTGCAGGTTCAAATCCGGGGAGAGGCGGATGAGCTCCCTCTATCAGCTCCAGCTCCTCATGCGAGGACATGAGAGAAGCCTCCCACAAGGATAATAAAACATCAAATCACCTGGGCATCCCTTGGGCAACGTCCTTGCAGACGGCCAATTCTCTCACACCAGAAGCGACTTGCAGTTTTTCAAGTTGTTTCTGACACGACAAAAAAAATAGGGCTCTTTCTCCCACCCTTGACATTATTCCACAGATACCTATATACACTCAACATGCCTCACTTCCAACAGACCTCTGAACAAACCTCTAGGGATGCTTGCCACAGATGCAGGCGAAACGTCAGGAGGGGGATACTACTGGAACATGGCTATACAGCCCGAAACACTTACAGCAACTATTCCTTATTGTGTTTTTTTCTACTTGAAAGCTAGCTGGGGAATTCTGGAAGCGGGGTCTCTCACGCCTCTGGAAGGCACCAGTTGGGGTGAAGGCCAGTTGAGGGGAAGTGCTGCCCAAGTGTGGGGTCCTTCTGCCAGGAGGCAGAAGAATCTTTCTCTCCCTCTTTTTCTGCAGAACTGCTTCTCTCAGCACTGTGTTGCTTTTGGCATT